CAGGATGCGTTTAAATCTGGGTCCACTGTGTTAATCACCCCCCATTCTTCTTTCTGGCACTTACCCTCCAGGCTATTTGCCTCTTTAGGAGATTAAGCGACCAAGTCATCTTGTTGCTCTAACATGTCCTCACTGGAGCAACATATTAACACAATTCCTCTGCAAAAGAGCCCTCTTTAGAAGTTTGCTGCAGGGATGACAAATTAACCCAGCATGGTGTCCCACACATCTATCTCAGTACAAATTATTAGTGTAATAGAGCTTTTAGTTATGCATTTATCTAGTAATTATTGAACGGTTATACAAAACGAAGCTGAGCAATCATGGCCCTTTATGAGGCAATCTCAGTGGGTGGCCTTACAGTTAATTTAGGATAGGACTGTCTAAGCAGTTCACTCGCACACAAATTAGCCGAACAGCCTGCTCCTTTAAATATTTCCTATGTCACAGGCTAACTCTTTACAATACAACAAAGGTAGAGTTTTAATTACACGGTTCCTGACTTTTGTTTAGCTGAAGCTTTAACCATTTGCAAGCCTTCCTCCCAGTCCTCCCCTGCCTGGGATATGGCAGTGGATGGGAGATTGGGCAGGGCATCCAGTAATTACTAAGCCCTGACCTTGAGGCCATCTGTTAGGAAACTGCTTTTCTTTCAGATTGCTCTTGCTTCGAAGTGAGGGAATGGAGAGAATCAAAACCTACACCTACATGCTCATTTAAAGCCAGGTGAGCCCTCCCTGTATCCTGACACTAACCGAGAGTGTGACTTGGCAATGGGCTGGGTTAGCTAATCTCTTGGTCAGTGGGATGCTATCTGGGGTTCTACTCAACTGCCACACACATTCCTACCCTTGTGCCTCGGCTCCCTCCTCTTTTGGTTGTCTCATATTAACATCCCTTGATCTGAGGTGTCTGTATCAGAATGGACTTCCACTGCTCTCTTCTTGTCCAAATGCAAAGGAAAGTAGAAGGCTGCTAAAGTCTGGCAGCTTTGAGGGCAGCCCTCAAATAATATGCAACGTGATATAAACAACTGTATATTACAAAATGTCCTTTTGTGCTGTATAGTCTTGGAATTAGCAGAAATTATCGTCTTGGTACGTGTGAAGTTGCCTGACAGGACAGCTAACAGCTACTGATATTTTTGATATTTTGGTGACCCAAGTGAGAATTTTGACAAAGAAGGGCACAATGTTTTCCCATATTTTTGACAAGTTTCTGCTACGGAGGCACTAACAGAGAGCATCAACCTGTCAAATTTCCCTGGTAGACCTCATCCTGATAAAAATCTCAGTGGTTATGCTTATTATGGAAGAGATTACTGTAAAGGAAACCACTCCTCTAGTTGACTTTCATCCCTTCTTCTCTTTCTGCTCACACGCCTAATTACTTGGGTTTTTCCCTTTGTGCTGAATTTCTTGTCTTGTAACTGTGTTTCTCCTTCATTTATCTTCCTAACATACCATCTCATTCCTTTTATTTTTTCTTTGCCTTTTCTTCCTTGCTTTTTGGCTTGCAGTGTCTATGTTGTCATATTCTGTGGAAATGCATGAATGCTCCAGAGCACAGGCTGCTGTATATCCCAGATTTACAAGATCGTGGTTTAATTTAATGTTTCAGCCAGATACAAAGTCACTAGAGTGCAAGTAGCAATGCACGGAAACCTAAAATCACTTTCGTTAATACTACTGCCACCTGTAGTATTTAAATACGTCACTGTCCAGTAAAGAGTTCAAACAGGCTGAGGCCGATGCTGGAAAACTTTGTGTGAGGCCAGAAGATGATGGCTTTGCAGTACTGGAGTGCTGAGGTGAGAAACAGTGGCCACCAGATCATCTATCTTGAAGGTATCAGAAGTACACTGCGTAGGAGAAAGCGATCTCTCTGCTCGAATTTTCAAGGCTTTGAAATACGTTCTAAAACTGATAGCAGTGCTAAAGCCACCCTATAGGTGATCCATTTACCATCTGCCAGGCACTGAATCCTAACCATGCTGGTCCAGAGAAGACATATGGTGCATTCATAGAGTCATGCCCAAAAAACTGCCATCATCAAGTGAGGCTCCATGAATCACTTTGCTAGCTTAGCACCAAAGAAACTTGGATCTTACCACCATCTGTTGGAACTACTGAGGAGTCACTGAAGCATTGGCATCCATGCGCCAGCACTCACTGCACATCTGGTCCTATGGTCAGCCAGCTCAGATCCTCTCTGCTGGCTACTGCCCAGCTGGGCTGAGTACTGGCAGCAGCACCAATGCAGATAGGAAACCAGTGTACAGCCTTCCACAACACAGTGCAGTGCAGACGATTTCATGAGAACAGAGGTTTTCCAGCTGGTTCGTTGAATGGAGCATTTTACAGCAAAGAAATCCTCTTAATGATCTACGTTTTCTCCAAGTTTAGTTCCCAAGGTGGCTTGCTGTGCGGATCACTGGGAAGGGCACTCCAGGATCCTGGGATATCCCCAGTGCTAAGATGTGCACTTTGTTCTATGATATGTTTGCAAGCGTGTGAAAGATTCAGGAATATTCCTGAGAAGTTACAAATCACTGGTTGTCAATGACAACACCTGCCATGAATAGTCCACAGCTTCTTCTCTGCCATCTAAGTTGATCGTGCTTTACAAATGCATCTCATATACACATCCCAAGTGATAAACTTGCACAGACAAACATCAGAAGATTGAACCTTCTCGTAATCAGTCAGTTGGCTGAGGAGCTTACTCTGATGGTGACCTACTTATTCATGACTTTCCTTCCTCTGACATGCAGAGAATCTCTGCAGAATGAGGATTAAATCCAGCTTTCATCTTCCTGAAGACAACGCAGAATGACCTGTCATCAAGCGTTTACGTAATGCATATGCAGCCAGAGAGGAAGCAACATATGTGCACTACATTATTCCTATCATTACTGTAAAATCTACAAGTTTCAATAACTGATGGTGGATGTGGATTGCTCAAAGATGATATCCTCTTATATGATTGCGTTATGCTCCTTATGTTGCCACTTTTGATACCTGAAAAGCTTCTCTCTTCTGCTTACTGGCCTAAAGTACACTGAAGGGAATGGGATAAAGAACAAAGCTGGATTTGCAGAAAATAATCCACCTCAGCATATTACCCTCTACTAACAGAATGACTGTGGTTGAAGTGAAGTAAACACAGCCAATGTGCTGTGGAAGAAGAATACTGAAGAGACACATCCAGCAAAGAACAAAGAATGAGGTCTGAATCAAGATTTTTCAAGGATAATGACATTGAAAGAATTCCTGGACAGATTCAGAGACATTTTTCCTGAAAGCTGTGAAGACTTTTTTTGGTGAATAAGCATAAAATAGAAGAAGATACTCCTAACTGATGCTGCAGAAGAACATTATTGCTTAACCTATTAGGAAGAGTGACCATTAGAAAATACGTTACTTTTCTATGGAGACATCTCCTTCCAAGCAAACTGAATTTGTCAAAAAGATTCATCGTATCTGCTCTTTCAAATTCTGGCAGTCTTGAAAGTTCTTCTCACGTAGCTGATCGGTATTCCCAGGTGCACAGAAAGTCTTGTGAAAACAGACCGTGGATGAGGCTTAAACAAGACCTCACCAGTGACACGTTTCCTCCCCGAATCACACAAAAATCCAAAATAGAGAGGGCCTAAATACTTACAGACAAAGGCATTTAATGAGTGAGGTAAAACATAGCCAAATACAGAAAGGACCTATTAACTAATCAATTGACAATTCAAATCTAAAAGGCTGAACTTCTGAAAGAGAGGAATTCAACGTCAGCTGATGTGCACCGAATATATTGTTAATGGAACATTCATATTATTCATACTTGTATCACCAATTACCAAGGCTTTTAAAAGACGATATTTTTGCCAGATAGCTCAGATCCACATTCCATGGGAAATCTGCATAGATCTTGGATGCCTAAATTCCTTCTGAGGGGCTAGGTGTGTCTCTCTCAAGATAATTAATTATCATGGGATTAACCACAATAAATCAAACTACATTAAGTAGGTTTCGCAAAGTCCTAATAACCGTGAGGTGCAATTCTGACCTCACTTCAACTTAGCGCAGCGCTACTGCTTCGCACCACATCACCTGGCACTGCGTAAAAAGGCTACTTGTGGTTCATGTCGTCCTCAGTAAAATCATACTTATGCCAAGCAGACATTTCAAAACAATTTCTAGCAGGAATTGCTAATACGTTTTTTTATGCTTCACCATTCGACCAATTCCTTAATCTTCTCTAAACGAGACAAAATTCCATATCAGAAAGAAACATGCCACAGCCATTCACATCTATTTTTATATCTTCCAAAGAGGTTTGTAAGAAGATTCATTCATTTTTGTATGTTACTATGCCCAAGTGTCTTCCTTTTCAAATGTGAGCTGAGTACCGCATTTTGTTTTCTAGGTTAATGCAAATGCACCTTTCTAACAAAAATGTATAAGCACATCTGGACCCAGAGGACAGTCCTGTTACTTGAAAAGCAAGACGGAAGAGAACTATAAAGAAAACCAGCCAAAATATTGCAGGAACCAACTTCAAAGCAGTCCGCTAATAAGGCAGTTCTTCAGCACACCATCACCAACAGCACGAGCACCAAATGACTTGCAGCAACAAAGCGAGAGTGTTGGAAGATAGGCATGGCTCAGAAGTGACTGATGAGTCCCTGTCTCGATCAGCTATGCACTGACACAAGCAGAAGATACTCTACCTTCCCCACCCTCTTCAAATAAACACCTGCAGCCCCCAGAAACCTGCATTTCCACCTTTGCAACTGCTGAACTGTCACCAGGAGTTGTACCAAACATCCCAGCCTCGCAAAACCAACCGGCCTTGACAACGACAGCCTCCAGGTTCTGGAGCTTTGGAAGCACAGCCTGGCACTGAGTGTGTCACACGTGGCGATGACTTTCTGTGGCAAAGCACCGGGATGCTGGGTGCTGTGGCTAATGCTTAAGCTGCCTGGGGGCTCTTGGGTTAAGCCTCACCTCTGGGTCCTGTAATGACAGGTCGATGGTGCTGTGTGAAAGCCGTTCCAAGGGAGGAGGTCTGCGAAGGCGAGGGACTGCTGAAACCAGACTTCTCTGACTTCTTTAATGCAGTTGGCGATGGCATTCCTGGCAAGAATGATTGATAAGTGCAATTTAATAATGCTAGGTCATGGAACGACAGCCTATGCATTGTGAAAGTGGGTGCAGAAGCAGCTAGATAAACTTAAAGGACAAACGAAATTGAATACAACAGCAAGCTGAAAGCTCACTTTTATTTATGGGATTTTTTGAGGCAGAAGTGGCCATGGTTTGCTGTGAGCAATGAGTACTAGAAGGCAGCCATATTTTTCTTTTAAATCTGAAATATGGATAAGATGCAGCTTATTATTGCTACTGAAACCTACTCTGCTTTATTTTTAGAAATCTGTAATAGCTGGAGCATTTGGATTTTTACAGGCTTTTTATGAGTTCTGTCTTTCACTTGCTGGTTCAATAGATTATTGCAAATGGATCTTTTAAATGTGCTGCAAGACTCGAGAGTGAAGTTTTCTGAGTCCAAACCCTGCCATTCCTTACTCCGTTGACTTCAAAGGTATTTGAAAGTAATATATTTATGTGGTTTCCTTTTGCTTTCAAAATTTTTTAAAGGGTGAATGGTATTTGTGTTTTGATATTAGAAGCCACAGCGGAATTATTTCAGTTGTTATAATGCCTTGAACTATACCAAAGGCTTCCAATGAAAGGTAGAGTTAAGCTGCCAGTGGGTGAAACCTCTCCCATGGACAGGCAGAAATGGTGCAATGCTGCTCTGACTGTTCTGTTACACTCTCTGAGATCAACTTCTGCTGATATGACACCAATCTTGTGGCCCTTTTGGCTTCCACGTGTTACCAAAGAAATTAATGGAATGAATATTGAGGCTCTGAAATCAGAGATTTTTTTTTTTAAAGTGTGATTTATGCTTAGATAAAAGAACGTTGCAGCACATAGTTGAGGACGTATGTGTGTCCATATTATTAACTTTATTTTTATAGATATAGAAGCATATGGATATTCTCATTATCTGCACGTACTCTGAAAATAGATAATTTCCAATACGTACAGTACATCACACATTTTGCATATCCATAAGGATGTAGCAAAACAAAGTTGCAGAACTGTTGGGGGTCTCAGGTTAGAAAGCAAAAACTAAGATAACGTGGAAGTTGAACTTCCACCAGCAAAGCCACTCAACCTACTCTGTATTTTATAGAATTCAATTGTTAAAAATGGAAGAGAAAGGTCTGGACAATATTATCTCTGGACAGTATCATTAACTTTATATTTAATAACACTAGCTTTATAGTCCCTGGGACGTTGATTGCAATATGCAGGAGCCTTCTTGTTCTTTATACACTGCTCTGCTGGGGTCTTAATGGTTTCAGTGAGGTTTTGCAGTTTATATTTCAGGAAGTTAAATAGTAAGGGAGTGGTTAGAGCTCCAGCGCTGTAATTACAGCTTTCTGTCTTGAAACTGTTTGCTACAAGGGTTTGCTGTTGTGAGGCTTGTTTCCTCACAGCAAGAGAAGTTAGATATATAATCTTTTAAAAATAAGAGTTTGAAATGGACAGAGATAAGAAAAATGCCAGGTTGGTTCATTTCACTGTGCTCTAAAAGATTTTGGGGTAGGGACAAAAGCAGGAGAGTTGGTTCAGTTTGGGGCAAGTGAGAAAAGGAGGCTGAGCTAAGCTGTCTTCAGTGACATATTCCATTAGTTGTAATGAACTTCTGCTCACATGGCACATTGGCATTTAAGTTTGTGGCTGCTCTTTTTTTTGAGCGTTCACATCCAGGACAAGGACGCTCAAAAGAAATAAGGGTGATGTTGACTCTGATGTCCTTACAGTGGCGGAACTGGGGGAGGGAAACAGTAAACAGGTGCCACCCCAGCTCTAAACACAAAATCAGTGGGCAGTGGCAACATCTGTGCTCCCGGTGGTGGAGGAGCTGGGCTGCTGTGCTAAAAACCTGCCTGCATTTGAACCATGGCCTGAGGAAGGGGCAGGGAGATGTGGCCAAAAGCTGCAACACGTTTACGTGAATGCATCCAAACACTGAAACTTGAGGCACTGCAACAACAGTGGTGGATGACCTTGAAGTACGGCAGCGCTGAGCAGGGCTGGGAAGGGCTTTTGTAGGGTTGGGACAGCAGCTGTCATAGGAAAATAGAGATTTTGATGTAACGCTACGTTGTGAAATGGAGCAGACATGCAAACTGAAGCACTGATTATTGGTTCCTACTTTTATTACATTTGTTTGTTATCATTTGTTCTGATTGCCATCGTTATTACTGTTGCTTTTTTTTTTTTTTTTAATTTATTTCAGGATATTCTGAAATGTGTTGCTTTGGAACAGGCCAACTCTATCATGTTTTCATTTTGTTTGAGGTTTGTAATGACACATTTTATTGTGAGTGATCATATCCATCAGATCTCGAGAAAAAAATGGCTGCTTCCTAGTTCAGAAGAATATGCAAACAGGAGCTTAATTACATCACTTAATATTGACCAAGAGAAAGAAGAAGTTGAGCTTGCCAGCTCATTTCTAAAGCATGTTTTGTCCTTTAAGAGGGGAGGGTATGACAGAAAGTTAGGCAGTGCAAAGCAATTAGCATCATTCACATTTTATGTTGCGCTAGCATGGTGCTCTAGCAGCAAAATTCAAACATTCTTTGAATGGGTTAATAAAAGAAGAAATACAGTCGGCATGCAAGAGAAAGGTTTCCAAGAACAAGCCAAAATATGTCCCATTCTTCTAAATTTATCACAGCCATGTCACATTATCCTTGAGACTGCCAGGAATGTCAATTTTTTTGCAATTTTAAAAAAATATCTCATTTAGCACCATATGTTTGGTTAATGTGCCTGATATATCCTGCGTATTCTTTAGTCCATCCATTTCTAATACTCATTTTCTTTTTTCCCCCCTCACTGAGCCATATGTTACAACGCTGGTCATTCTATCGAAGCTCCTTTCAGGAGCTGGGAGCAAAAGCGAGCAAACTCGGGTTTAATCACCCAGAAAAATTTAAATCTGATTCTCCAGCTCTCGCTCTTAGGTAAGCAATCTCAACACTTCAGTTAGCTTTGTAGGTGCCCGGTGCCTATGGAAATCAGGCCACCTATGAGATACCGTGTTGTATATTAACAACTGTGAGGCAGGAACTAAATGGCTAAAGATAGAATTAGGTGTTTAATTTTTGGCACCCATGTATGAGACTCTTGGCTAGTTTTAAAGGTCTTCTGTTTCATACCTAATGAGTTTTAACACATTTAGTGGTCCCCAGCCCTCAGCTTCCCCTCCTGTGTTGCTCAGGGATGCAGGAAATTAAAAAGTTAAAGCTAGAGCTACCAAGGGCAGAGCCCAGGGAGGATGCTGCTGCCTTGCACCACTTTCCTCAGCACTGTTCCCATGAGCTCACAAATACTGGGGACCACAGCATGGAAGACCAGGTTTCAGCACTCCACGTGGTGGTGCCAACCTTTAAGGACACCTCGGAGGCCCAGTTCTCCTCCGCTTCCTCTCTGGTGCAGGGCAGCAACAAATTACTCTATCCCCAGCCCGTCTCAGCTGTGCTGGCCAGTGAAGAGGGAATGGAGCCAAGGATCCTCCCCATTCCCTGCCTCTTTCTATCCATCTGCTCTGAGCAAGGAATAAATGAGAACAGCCAGAACACAACGGCTGGGTGACCCAGGTGGGGTTTTCAAGTGTTCCTTACTGGTCTGTGCATGGGACTGTTGTCCAAATCACAGTCACACCTGGCATTTTTGGGTAACACAATTTCACAATCTAGGTCTGACTCTCCTCGGAATGTTAGTTAGAATGCAAGAAATGAAAATCAGAATTAGTCTGTTTTCATCTTATGGCAGCTTTTAACTACAGAATAAGTGGAAAAGTTAATTGCCAAATAAGAAAGAAAATGAGGGGATATGTGGCACGAAACACAGATGGAAGCCTGAGTGGGTGTGTTTCCTCAACTCACTGAAAGCATGCGATTGTATGAGTACATACATGCCAAACATATATGGTCTTAGCCTGCTCCCATTAACATGAATTGTTTTTTTTTTCAATGGACAGAGGGAGCCAGACCAAAGACCCTGATGGTGCTAAATGGAACAAGATGTACACTTTCGTATTTTTTTCCACAAGGAAATATTAATTTGACATTGGTTTTTCAGTTGAAAAGAATTTTAATTGCCGTACACAATAAGCAGAAAATTCAGACAACAATAATCTTGAAACTGTTAGCAGCATTATATTTCTATCAAGGAATTTGAGTGCCTTTTCAACATTAGAGCTTTCTGAATTTTCATTAATTTGGCATTTCCCTAAACACACAAGTTATTTGGTTCATTCCACATCATGCATCACACCCTTTTGCTCAATGCATAATGCAAGCGTAAATGGGATCCTTGTCCTTGAGAGACTCTGGTTACTGGAGCCATTGCACGGATGTTGAAGTCCCGCAGTAAGACTTTCCAAAACTCTGCACTTCGCAAACCTCCAGCCCAAGTTTAATCAGTGAGTGCCCACGAATACTCCATGTTCCTCATCTTCTAAGGGGGCAATGGAGCACTGTGGTGTTCTTAATTCCTCTATCTCCTTATGTCTGCCAGTACTAGAGATGTTTACCACATAAAAGTCTTCCTTGAGTACAGCTAAAGATCTTCAAATTTTCATGTATGATGCTGATAGATATTTAAATGGATCAGAAAATGATGTGTGAGAATTGAATGCACCAATCCTTCCCAGAGCAAACAAATATCTATTAACCTACTTCCCATACAGCTATGCTCCTCGCTAACAGAAGTACTGAAATGATGATTAACTTTGATGAAGTGAATGTAGTCATTACAGTGTAAGAGAAAAATTCCCCTCCTCTCCAAATCTATAGCTCTGTCTGTATCTATGTGCTCATCCAATTTCGCTTGTTAATTACTAACATTATTCTGACTATACACATCTTAAACAATAACTCCATATCAAGTCAGTCACACTGGTAGACAGCTAATATCCACCTCCAAAGACGACTGTTGGATAATTACCCCACTGCTCCCAGCAGTTCTCTGCCACTAGGCTCTTGTTGGAGATTCAGAAACAACAAAAGCTATGAATGAAGTGTGACTTAGATCTTCATTCTCAAGGGACACTATAACAAGGAATCACAGAAGCTCAGATATCACCAGGTGGACCATGAACTCAACAACATGCAGAACAAAGAGATGATGCATAAAGACGAGTTGGCTGTTGAAGAAAAAGCTGATACGAGGGAAGAATTTTCCAAGGAATTTTCATCCTTCTGTGGAAATTATTCCGTCTATATCTGAAATAAGTATCAATAGAAACGGTGATTGGCTGCTTTTTTTTTTTCTGGGGAAGTCTTAATTTCAAGTTTCTTGAACTTTGGATGGCTATGCTACTATCAGTCATAGCAAATCTGTTCTACTTATTGCTGAACGAGCTTTATTTGTCTTCAGCTGAGCTACAATCACACTAGCTGCCATCCATCAGTTTACTCTTTTACTTGCTCCTGTATGTGCAAAACACAGTGCTGATAGGAATTCCCTCATTCTAATAAAGTGCTCTTTAGTTTCTATGTTTTGAACGTCTGCTTGCTCCTCTGGTCACACTCTGAGTTACCATGATCACTGACCAACTACCTGCCAGCGAGCACCTCACTTCACAAAGCAAAACCCAGCTTAATGAACAACGACTACACAGAAGTAAAATGAAAGCTCCCATCTATCCACTTATCCAACTACTGCATATGCATCAGCAACACACACAACCAGTTTCCTCAGAACTCGACATCTGACAGATATCAGGAAAACAGAGCTAATCTATCCATACCCATCAACATCGTATCATAGGTGACTGCCAGATACTTAAGAAGCTATCCAAAAGAAATGTCACAACTCTTTTTCAAGACGCTACAAAAGAAATGTTCCAAATAAAATAAAGCAAATGCACGTACAAGTAAATGAGCCAAAGAACTTAATAAAAAGAGATTGATTAAAATGAGGACCAGAATGTTCAAAAAGGACTAAGAGAGAGAGGTGCCAAAGGCGCATTAAATGGATTCAATGGCTTTAGGCTTTAAACGCTTTTGGATTCCTCAGCAATTTTTAGCCAAAAATGATCATTCAAGTTAGAATCAGGATTCTGATGCCACTTAAGATAAAGAAGAGTGATATTTCTACATTGTAAATGAGTACTCCTCCATTTACAAAGGAGAAGTATCAGTTTTACCTGTGATAAATCCTGTCTACAGAATGTGAAACTGCATGATGCAACATTTGTTATTTTAAACCTCTACCCCATTAAAATCTACGCTAAGCATTTTGGTGCAGCGTTCCCATAGAGTGTATATCTTATCTGTCTGTATCTGTGTTTACAGCACCATCTGGATTGTTTTTGGTGCTCTAAGTGAGCCTCCATCCCTGTCTTGTCATCCAAGGAACTCTTTCAATAGCTAATAAACTGGTACCAAACGTTTGACCAACGCCTTCAAAATATCACCTCATTGGAATTTTAAATTGGAGAATTTTAGTGAGAAGCATATCAAACAGCAAGATCACAGTTTGCTTCTCCCTCTAATTTCCATCAGTTCCCATGTCATTTTCCATTTTGTAAATACATATTTTAATAAGAACAAAAACTGTTTTCTAATGACGTCCTTAAACTTCATGATGTCATTTAAAATTCATGATTCCATTTGCTTCATTTCAAATGCTGTTTGAGACTTTTTCAGCATACTTGGCAGATTAGATATAACAGCGGGGACAAACTGCAGCCATCCATAGGAGAATACACCTTTATGTGGGTGCTTTGGGGATGGAACATCTATAGCTGTTAGGCAAAAAAATTCCATCGTAAATTTGGATGGCATTTACAAAGCCCTCTAAAAAGTCTTTGCATATGATTATAGCTGAGGTATGATATTTTTGCAAGTAAAAGACCCAGAATAGATTTATGTTTCAACTATATCTTCCTGAGATGCATATGGATTCTAAATTGCAAGTGATGTTAAAGGGAATTTTACTAACTGAAGAGGATCGAGTCAAATTTTATTTTTTTTCTCCCCTCCAAAATCCTTTGCTCAATGTTTGCATGCCATCAAAAGATCATCTATCTATCCAGGCTATACATAACCACGATGGCTACTAAATGCCAAAGGCATGAGATGGAGATGGGCAAATATGCGGATTTTTCAGACTTGTGACCTCAGTTACTGCATGGTAATGTTTTGAAATGACTTTTATGATGACAAGACTAAGTTTGGTGCTAATATTGGTCTTGAACTTAATCGGTACACACAGCCACTGAACATATGTTTCAATTAATAAAAGGACTGTGGACAGGATTGAAAATAACTCAGATAACTTAACATGCACTGTAAAGTCACCTATCTCTACACAATTTAAGGTGAAGAGTCTACACACTATTCCAAAGAATGAAATAGTTGCAAACTGAATTCATGTATCACACCAAGCTGAAATGGAGTTACAATTTGACAGGTCAAGAGTGTACTCATGGAACTATTATGTATTGCTGTGCAGTGGCTTTGGGTGTTTTTATGACATGACTGCCCAGGTTTGACAGTCACAGGGCTGAACAGTCATCTCATTTCTCCATAACACAACAATTCATTCGGAGCTGATGCAGAGCTGCTGTGATTTTACTGGGAGGTGCCCATAGCTGATGTATGTTGGCATGTGCCTCCTCCAACGGCACTGCAGGGCCACCACCAGCAACTCCCCAGCAAGACTCGGCAGCTCCCACTCAGCACAAACTTAACGGTTTCCCAACACATCAGTTCTCACACAGGTGATATCAGAGAGGCAAAATCAGCCTCATTTTTTTCCACATTTCCAATGGCTTTGGGATTCTGGGGGTAAATAACAAGGAATCCCCCTGGAAAAAACTGGATTGTTCCTGTGGCCGAGGAGGCAAAGGTACAGCAGGGCGGCTTTGGCTTTACTTCTAGAGGAGCTGCTTGTGAGTTCTGCCCGACACCTTTACATCCACCGAGCAGCTGAAAACACATCTGACAGAGAGCTCACAGGAAAACAGTCCCTACAAGTTCATGGGAACAGGCATGGAAAGGGCAGAGTAACACGTCCAGGCTCCCTCCGGGCTCTGGTAAAGTGCTCTCCTCCACCAGAGAACCCAAACAAGAGGGAAAGCTGGTACACCCCCCAACCACCCCAATGTCTGTGCACCCAGAACAAGAGCATTGGCATTGTTTGAATAGGCACACCCACCATGAAGTGCTCCGCGGTGTTCGGGGTTTCTTAGATATCCTGATTTTATAAAAGAAAGTAAAAGAAGAAAAAAGAAACAAGGTGAGAGAGAACACTATCATATTTTGTAGCAAGCAGGATACTGTGTGAAATCTTGGCCCAGTGAAGTGATAAAGGGGAAGCTTTCCGTTTGCTTAAGGGAAAACTTACGAGCAAATAGTAAAATTACCGAAATACCACATTGCAGAAAATGGGTGCATTTAGGCTCAATTAAGCTGTAAAAAGGAAAATGGCACTTTAGCTTACAAAAATGAAGGGACAGAGGGAGCTATCAGAAGTAACTTTACAAGATTTGTATGCATGAGGATGCTGCTTCACTGGACCAAGAAAGCTACAGTATGGGACAGGATTTTTCTTTAATAGACACTTTGCTAGATAGCTTTGTTGAGCCACAGAAACTGCTGCTCTGGCATTATGAAATAATCCTGCATAACTCGATCTCATGAGCTTAGGAACACAGAAAAATAGCCATGCCAAATCAGATTACAGGGATCCACCTAGCCCGCTGTCCTCTCTCTGACAGCGGTAATTAATGGATGCCAAGGAAAGAGGAAGAGACCAGGGAAAGCACACAGTGATAATTCTCCAAAACTCTCTCCCAGCCTCCAACGATTTGTGTGATTCAAGGACTTCTAAGACAAAGTTGATACCGTGCTAGAGAAGGTACTCAAATCCAAATGCACAGATTTACACCCCCCCGCCTCCCCTTTTTGGATTCCTACCCCCATGAGATTTCCACCCGTCACACAGGAGAGGTTTCACAGTTTGCTGCTGGCAAGTCCGGTGTTCTTGCCACTAACTCTAAATGAGCTAACAGCTTTCGAGCCCAACGATGTTATGTGTATAAGAGCATCCAACACTTTTTCCTACATAAAAAAGTGACATGTGTGCTGAGGTGCTCTGAGTGTATATACTTTGGGAGATAATTTTTTTTTTTTTTTTTAAACAAGAATTTGGCTGTAAATTGATATTAACATTTTCCAGTATATGTGTAAAACACATGTTTCAGAAGAATAGAAGAGAGAAACTGTCACTCACTGGGAAGCTTTAGAGCTATCTGGCTCCCTGGGAAACTGCATGCAACTATTCTGGTGTCCAAGGGTTTGACCAGTGAGTTTCCTCTTCCTGCAAAGAATGAATGCAGAAGTAATAGAAAGTCTGAGGGGGAGGATTTTAGCACATGGCTAAAGATACTCCTGTGCTGCTAACTTCAGCAGGTAGGAAGAGGGTAGTGGTGGAAGAGACAGGGTGGGAAGGGAGAACCACCTGCCTTCCCCTCCCAGCTGCCAGTAGAGAGAAGGGGAAGGGGACTGAGCTGGGAGAGCCTCGCACGCTTCAGCCCAGCCCTCTGAAATCCCTTTGTGCTTCTGCACTGATACGCAACGATGCCGACAGGTCAGCACAGTCCCAGCACTGCGCACAGCGTCAGGACGTTCTGCTCTGATTGCCCAGCTCTTGCTGTGACCGCCTTTCAGGATGGAGCACGGCTCACCGGCATGGCACAGCCTCCTTCGTGGCGTTACCACTGCTTGCAAAACCCCCTGCTCCTGGACACAAAAAGTGACTTCCCAGGCATCACTCTTATTCCACTGCCCACTTCTCGGGGGAGTTTCTGAAGTTTTCATTTTCTGATCAAATTGGTACCTATGCGTCAATTTTTACTTTATTTGTAAAACGAATCAGTAAAACTGGGGACCTGAAGAAAGGCTTATCCTTTCATTTTTGATGGCATGTTGACTTGGTAAGATTCTAAAGGCATGCCTAACCTATTAGGGGGTCCCTATAACTTTCCTTAAAGCAAAAATTAGAAAGTGCTCGAAAAGTTTTATAGAGGAGAGCAGAAATATAATTTTAAGCCTCTTAAAATTGCCTGAACTGTGAAATCAAGTAATGAACTAGAAAAGGATCTGTCAGCTGGAATCAAAGCTCTGACTAGTCAGCATTTTCTTCCTAAACCTTATTATGGTGAAGATTTTTCATCTCTGCGCTCCGTTCATCCCAACAAATAAACCGACTTGACCTCCACCTGTTACTTGGTGAAGTCTGCTGTCATCTTTGACTGAACCCTTTTCTTCCCCTTCAAAGCCCTCTGCACCACTGAGGAGGTGGAGAGATACAGCTGTGCATTGATTCAAGTGGATACCAGCTCATCACCAGACAGCGTTTCACAGCACAAATGACAAGCAGCAGAGGAGAGAAAAATGTAGTGCCAATGAATTCTGGAAGGGGGCAACATTTTTCATCAATTTAACAATGAGATTTCATAGAAAGAAGTTTGTGTGTGTGTGTGTGTATGCGTGTGATACTATGAACTAGCATTGGAGGCAAAAACGTTTTGCTTCTGCTGTAACAACGAACCTACGCTAACACCGCGGATGAAGAGCTGCAGAACAGAGTGGGACCTAACTGTGCTTCTCTTAGATGGCACGAGTGAATTGCATTAGCTATTTCAAGGAGGTTCAGCTCCAAATGCGTGCAGTTTTCTGGACTTGGAAGCAAGTTGTGGCTTTAAAACGTAACATGGCTAAATAAAACAAATGTACATTACAGAACATAGCACAGCGAGACTGGTCATGAGGAAAACTGAACAGCAATCATTTCTTCAAATATATCATCATGACAGAACCATGCAAGTAGCTTTCTAATACAAAGACATATCAGAAAAAGCCATTTCATATAAAGTTGGACTTCTCTGGGTGATTAATGCTACATCCAACAAAGGAGACAGTGTCTGTCTAATTACATTAAATACTTATCTTCTAGGGATTGGCAGGGTGTTTCTGCTCAATGTCACTTTTCATGACAATGTAATGATAGATCCGTTTACTTACCAGTGCCATTAGCAAAAATTGTACTGTTTTCTCAACTGCCCTCATATCACAAAAATATTTGATTAACACACTGTAGCTTATCTAATACTCTAAGCAACATATTCCGCATAGTTTTCTCTCTATTAAAAGAACAAGATTACAGCTTGTAAAATTTTTATTGCACTCACACAAAAATAAATGAATAATGTGCGATACACTTCAAGTATCTCACTGCTCCACAAAATGGGCTTATTTAATTTTAAATATTAACTTGCGCTTTAAACATCAGGATTTGGGGGGGAAAACTAGCAAACAAAGTACTCTGAGGTACGGCTTCCCATCCAGCGTTTAGTTATTATTTCCTTTACGTATCAGCACGTCTTTTGAAACTTTAAAATACCTTGGGAGGAAAGAAACAAAAATGCTTCATTCCTTTGCTGAAAAATAGATAGGGCCACCTCCCAAGTATCTGGAATTCACTGCATCGTGAACTGACTCCTCACAGTCACACCACCGTGCCAACATACAGAGAACAATAACCTCTGGAAGAATGCACACAGCTAAGGCAGTTTATATAGTAACAAGGTAATTTCATAACCTTATATTGAAAAGAAGGGCTGTGAGGTAACATCCTCGCAATATATATCAGCTACCTGATTTTTACTAACAAGGTTAAACTGCTATCTGTTTGTCTCAGCACTCTTCATAATTCACTTTTTAATGGATGGACAGGAAAAGTTAGCAGTGTATGGCACAGATCATTTTAGAAATAGGACAAGACAGCTCAGGGCTGGATCTGAACATGCTCCTTCTTTCCATAGGATCACATCAAAAGTCTATCCTTAGCCATAATTCCCATCTACTCCCGAATCTTTTGAGGGGTAGATTTCTAGATTTTCTATCAAAGTTAAATGGCAAATTCAAAAAACAAGGAATCCTTTGATTCTTCTTCGTTTGAGAAGGAGGTGTCACCATCAAATGGCCCCAGGTTGAATGGCCTGCTTCCCACCGTGATGCTCCATATGTGTGCAGAAGGCACATGGGCAGCAGCTCCACTCCTAGAGGAGCCAAGAACATCAACCCCATTTTGGTACAGCACTGCATGCTGCCACAAAATGGTAGCACACAAACTGGCCTCCATTAGGTCTAACTCAGTACAGCAACGTGGGGTTAATTAACACTGGCCTTAAATCCCACACAAGGATGACACCGCTCTCAACCTCCCCATATGCTCCCCCCAAAATAATAGCGGATTTAGGATATTCGTTCCCCTAGCTGCAAGGGTTTGGGGTGTGCCTGCAATTATCTGGAGATAAGTCTGACACGCATTATCCTTCTATCAATGACATTCCCCTTAGTAGCCAACAGATTATCAGCAGCTTTGTGATATTCCAGGTGTCAAAGAAGAATTAAAAACCACAACAATTGCCCAAACAAAGGGACAAAAGATGGGATACGTGTTTCTGAGCCCTGCATATCAATTTAATATGTGCAGCTGACAATGATGCAAATGTCCTCGGGAGAGAGGCAGCAAGATCCGTGCCCAAACATACACACACCACCGTCAGCAAGATGGCAGGGAACAGAAGCAGTAGGATTCCCAGCCCAGGACACATGCCTCAGCAGGCAGAGCAACCCAATGAAACAATCCTCTGGTTGAGGAGAATTTTGGAAGCACCTGATATGGAAAAGGGCCCTAAACAAGCCAGATGGTACTTTTCGCTGGCAGCAGAAAGTAGGAGACAGCCAAAAACATTACAGCATTTCCCCAAGAGGCCAGCAGATCGATTTTTAACCATTTTTTTTTTAAAGCGACGCTATCAATATAAAAAAAATAATGCTTCTGTGCATTTCTAAAAGTCTGATTTTATGAATCACTCACTTAAGGAGGCAACAACTGGAAGAGATGAGAAAGGAATGGACTCCCACTTTCCTGGGGTGGTTGTATATTCGACATTGCGTTTCTATTCAGTTGCTGCCACTGTTTACTCTGAATTAAGTGCCAGTTTTTGTTCAGGGTTTTCCACTTAACATTAAAGAGAAAAAAAATCTGTAAAAGTAGAGAACGGGCACAATGGTTCTTATGACACAGGAGAAACACTGTTTGTAAGGCTGCTTTGCCCTCTTTGTCCCCCACAAATTACTGGGTTTCTAGATGATCATTTTTTAACAGAGGGCAAACATTTATTTACTACCTACAAGTTCCCATTTGGCTACAGATTTGCATAAGAAATACAGCTGTTTTGGGGATCTTTTAATTTTTAAAAGCTCCAAATGGCCAGAATTGGCAATTCTGCCTGGATTACAGGACTGCTTTCAGGACTCATTTTGACGTCAGATGTTGAACCTTTACTTTGACAGTCCCAAGCAGTTTCTTGAACAGCACATTCAGATTCCGTGCGGCCAAGTGGTTTGCACTCGAGGAATGGAAAAGGAATGTAGGTTGTATGAGCTGAAAGGGCCCAGAGGGACAGAGGAGCTGTGAAGCAAGAGGACAACCAGCACCCTTTGTTTCAAACACACACCTCATGTTGAGGATTGGCCAAACTTAGAGAAGAGTCAGGATGATGCCTTACTTTCCTTTGTCACTATTTTAGTTCAGAGCAAAGGCAGACCCTAAGACAGGGTTAAATCTGGACTGCATCCAAAGTGCTTTCTCCTGCTTGGAGCACAGTGGTGCATTAGCGTACTGCATTACAGATAAAACTCCTGGAGACAAACGTGGGCTGTTGTAATAAAATGGGACGTTACTCTGAGTACAAAGAAAGATAATCCATACATTCACAATTTCTTCAATCTCACTCATTGCAAATCCTTCCTTTTAAAATACAAGGTATTTCCTTCCTACAGGTGGAACCTAAGACTTTGCCTCCAGTCCTTTCTGATTTGAACAGTCCCACTCTTTTCAGCACTGCTGTTGGACGTGAGGATGCAGATGCCACCTCATTTCGTTGGCTCTTTGGAGTTCAAAGATCTTAAAGCAAATCCCAGTGAACCAAACGAAGACTGCACACAAAACTTCAAAACACAGCCTATAATTTTCTAGTTAATTTTAGCTACAGGATCTCTTGTGTTATGCTTTTTGGTGTATATCACACTAAAAATAGCATCAAGCACTGATGTAAGAGGAGAGCAGGAGGAATGATCTCACCAGGGCTGCAGGCCCAGAAAGAGCAGCATGGGCAAGCAGAGGTGGGATATGCTATGCATACCTACCTGCCTCTAACAAGACCTCAGTGAGCACAGAAGAAAGCTGTAGTCAGTTTGCACATGAGATAAAGAGCATGAAGATTTTGTGGAGCTGGAAACCAAAGA